AAACAGGGTCTTATGTAACAGCTGGACGATGTGCTGAGGGAATGCAGTGAGCATATGTATGTGTGTGTGTGTGTGTGTGTGTGTGTTTGAGTGTCTGTGTTGCCTCTGGCCGTACTGGATGATGTATGCTCGGAAAAGGTTTTTAAATCACACGCTGCTTTCACACTGCACACAAATACAATTTGGCTTCACATCCGATCTTTAGGCCTGATTGTTATTTTGATGAAATAGGAATTGTTTGTTCAGAATGTTAAGTTTCAGTGAATCCTCGTTGTAACGATTTTAGCGTCAGCATGGTTCTAAAAGTCTCTCTCATACAACAAGCTGTCAGCTTGGAAAGAGACGACTGGAAAACTGGAATTTAGCCTCTGCTGATGTCTACTACCCCATTCTGCTGACCAGAACATAAGCTACATTTTATGCATTCATGAATATATTGTGTGCAAAACTGCTGATTTGTTCACTACACAGTGAATGTCACATAGTTCACTATATAAGGAAGGAGTCAAACAAAAAAGAACATATCCAAACAAAGGTTTGGAACGGCATGAGGATGGATTTTTTTTATGTACTATTTAAGCGCCTCTGTCTTGGAAAACAAATGGTTTTGGGAAGTCAAACAATCCAGTATATATAATGTACAGTATAAAGCAGTAGAGCTGCATGAATCGGGATAAATTGAGATTTTTTTTTTTTTAAATAGAGATCAAGATTCTCCCACGATTCTGAATAGACAACGAAACAAAATAACATGTAATTTACTCGAGGTTCTGACAAAATGTTAACTGCTGTGGTCCATTTAAAAATATTTAATTAATTTTAATTAATTATTCAAAAACAAATCTGTTTGAATGAATGATTCAATGACTCACTCAAAAAGGTCACTTATTTTATTACTGGATAAATCTGCATCTTTGAATAAATTTCTCGAATGAATGATTCAATGACAAATAGATTTTTTAACAGTCGCATTTCACCACTTAGACGTGATATACAATCTTTATTTGAAGCGTCGAGTTATGAAAGGTGACAGACATCAGTGTTTATATCCAAACTATAAACTTTTATTCCAGTACTTCTGTGATCATTTGAATTATTGTAAGACAGAATGAATGTGTGGTTGAAAAGACTGTTTGTGAAGCTGTTTTATACCTACACGACAACTGCTCTCTCTGGGTCAGCGGCAGCGTAAACGCAGATTTGAATGTTTGCTGTGATCGTGCTTGTCAAAGGTTTAATAGACACAGGAAAATAGTTGTCAATTAAGAATAAGATCATGTGGGTGTTTGAATCGAGATTGCAATCTTTTAATTTTAGCCTAAAAATGTGAATATTCGAAAGTGATTCACAATGATTAAAAGCCTCATTATCCTAAAAATGTTAGGATGATTTTATGATAATGAGGCTTTTAATCATTGTAAATGTCTGTTCATGGGGTTATTACATGTTAAATGTATTTTTGGTTTCCTATTTTCATAAAACGTATGTCTGTCATCTTGTATTAATTTACTTGCTAAAATAATAAGTATGTTGTATCTTAAATCTAGGTAATGGTATATTTAGTCCAAAGTATACTTCACTTTTACACAAACGCTAGGGTCCACACTGTACATGTGCAGCCCGATTCTTCTAAACGGTTGAGTTATGACATTTTGATTAAGAATTATGAGGTCAAACTTAAATGAAATGCTCAAAATAAGATCAATGCCATGCATTTAGAAAACAGATTTGTATTTGATTACAAATTTAATTTGGCCCCTCTATGAATGTGAGCCCCACCACAGTCTCTGTTTCTCTCTCTCACACACACACACACACACAATATCCACATATAAATTCTCCACATTTGTTAACCTGCGATAACTCTATTTTTCCAGGTCTGGGAATTCCCCAAATGCTCAAGCTGGTAGGTACACTGCTAAACAGCGCATGTAACAGAGTACACACACACACTTCTCTGCACGTTCTTTACTGTGTGTAGCATCTAACTGTTAAGTGCCACCTGACACCCTTGTTCAGCAACTAAAGCCAAACTGCCAGACACTTGTCATAAAAAACAACAGTCAGCAGAATTAAAACCCAGCCTGAGGTCAACACTGAAGCTTAGAGCACTTCATTGGAATTCTGCTTACCACAGGCTTTCACATACATCCTAAAAAAAATATGATATAAAGAGGCCAAAACATTTCCATTATATACTTCAAGCACTTTACAGACCAACTTTCCAGTCTGTTAGACAAATACTTGTATCTATTAAAAGGAAAACACAGTTGTAATACACACTGTGTTCACTAGAGGGAGACAGAGAAACTAGTGCAGCACCACTAATTACTTATTCTTATTATGTTGACAGATTTCACGCACACATGACTTATGTGACCCACTGTCTCATGAGCTAAATGGACACACATACAGTGGTCCTGACGCATGATGTCCACGTCATCAGGGCCAAAATAGGAAACACACACTAATACTATGACACTAAAAAACAATTGAGAAAGAGCTGAAATCAAAGTAACTTGTCATACACTCCACAACAAAATGTAACTTGTTATACACACAAAGAAATGACTACATTCAGAAAACAACTCGATGGTCTACACCAATAGCACTTTCCATTCAAAAGTTGAGATGCGAGTGCATGTTTGATAATGATGTAGCCTGGTTAAAACCAGACCATTCTCAGTTGTAACTGAGTTATGGTCTGGCAAAGCGTCATAGACAAATCATTTCCAGAGGGGCGTCACCAACCGACGTCGCGGATAGACCTAAACCCAATCAGAGCGATGAAGGAGATGACGTATGCAGAGCAGCAGAAACATCTCCGAGTGTTGTTCTTTGCTCGGTTTCTAACTAAATGGAAACGTTCAAATCGCTTAAAACAGACGCGATAGCTGATTCGAACGAGTGATGTTCGACGGCGGCATCCATCTTTGTAATGTAGGCTACAAAATCTGCTTCAAAATCCCAGCGCTGTTGTCATCGTGTAAAGCCCGCCCCAACGTTTCTGATTGGTGCCGCGATTTCGGGCTTGAATGAGCTCTTTGCCAGACTAACTTTCAGAGCAAATTTAAATTAGCCGGAAGTTGTCTGGGTTTTCCCAGGCTAATAATGATGTATAAAGTGACCAAATTCTGACACGCACCGGGTAGTTCTAGGAACTAGCCACCAGGGTGGTTCCCCGAGAACTAATGGTTCCCCTAGGAACGTTTTACTGGTTGCATTCGCACCGCCAGTGGGAACCGGTAGGGACTCTCAAGTGATGTAAGCCGCGCTTGTTGTTGTGACTTTTATTTTGACGGCGCAGCAGACTTTTATTTTGACGTCACTGAGATCGCCAGCCAGATCCTGCCCTGAGCACACAGCGCTCGCATTCTCCGTGTTCATTAGTTTATGGTCTGTCTAACAGTCCTATATAATACTTTATTAGATAGAACTGTTATACATAGAAAGTAGACAGTAATGAAAAGTTATTAGCGTATGCTGTGTGGTTGATGTCCAGTGTTGCTAGCTGAGCAGAAATACATGATCACGTTTCGCTTGGTCCCCTCAAAGTTGTGTTAGATTTTCTCTTCCGCGTAAAGGTTTAGAGGCCCATCTATCACTGTTTTTCATGTTTGTAGAGTTAGTTTGTTGAGTAAATATATAGGCTACAATCTGTGTGTTTACGCAGCCTTTTTAAAAATGGCGGGTACTGACATTCCGTGTGCGTTCGGCTAATCAACACTAACATCACGGATAGTTCCTGTAGTGCTGGTTTAGACCCTACTCTGATGTAAGAGCTAAATTAGTTCCTCCAAAAGAGTTCCTAGAACTAAAATCGTTCCTAGTTCCTTCGGTGCGAACACGTCAAAATCCAGGTACTTCCGCCAATAGTTCTAGGAACTATGAAAAGGTTCCTTCGGTGTGAAAGCCCCTAATGCGAGTTAGGCCCTGTTTACACCTGGTATTAAGATGCGTTTTGGTCGATCGGATCACAAGTAGACGAGGGAGACACATTCCCGTTTACACCTGGTGTTTTAATCCGTCTCTTTTGTCCACTTTCAATCACTTCTGTCCTGATTTTTTCGAGGGGAGGGTCTTTGGCGGGTAAATGTATGTGATTTTGCAGATCTTTCGATCTAATGGGCAAAATAAGCTCGCGCAATTTACAAATGAACGCGCATGGAGACAATGGAAAAAACATACGGAGAGCAAGAGCTTTCGTTTCTGCTCTGATAGCAGCAAGACCACACTGAATTCTGGGAGAGAACATTGTGATTGGTACATTTTTCGTCTTCAAACCAAATTTGGGTCTTCATCCGACAGAGTTTAAATCCAGTTTGGCTAGTGTGCTTCCCATAATGTTTCCGCATTAGGTCAGTAGGTGGAGACCAGGTGGTCCTTTTTGGCTGTTCGAACGCATTCGACAACATGAGCGTTTACAGTAATAAAGCAATCCGGTTGAATGCGTTTTCGACTATCTCTGGAAGTGGTCGAAAGTGGACAAGCTCAAAACGGTTTAGACCCTGTTAACACCTGTACACCATAGACCAGCGTCGTCCACTTGTGATCCGATCGACCATCTTAAACGCATCTTAATACCAGGTGTAAACAGGGCCTTTAAATAACTGTTAATGCTGCAAAAAAAAACAAAAAAACACCCAAAACAGCTCCTGAATATCTTAAAGAAAATAATAACAAATGTTATGAATTAATAGCCCCTTGCAGAATTCATCTAATCATACCGTTGGATCTAAAACAACAAACTGTCAACCGCTACAGGAGGAAAATCAAATTGGCCAAACTTAAAATTCAGCCAGTGAAGAAGCCCCGCTTCTCCTCTCACACGGCCCAATGAGCAAAGTCACTGCTGTCTGGAATGCAAAGCAGTGTGTCAAGCAGCCAATGAGATGGCAGCAGATGAGGATCCAGCCATGGAGGATACTGAGTGCATGACGAAACAGAAAGCTGAGGGGAGAAGGAATGGTGTGAATAAAGGAGAAGGGGCGGAGTCTTACTTTAGGGGTGGGGCAGGAGGCAGTGGAGAGGCGGGACTGCTGAGCACAAGGAGACTCTGAGGGCGTGGTGCTGAGAGAGGCGGTGTCCCGCGGCAACACCTGCACGCCTCGTGAAATGATGGACTCTGGGATCTGGAAATAGAAAACCGTGACAGTCAAATTCAGTAAAGAATTGTCAGAATTAAGCATTTTCACTTAAATAGTATTGTTTACACTACCATTCAAGGGTTTGGAGTCATTCAAAATTCATACTTTTATTCAGCAAGGACACTTTAAATTCCTCAACAGTGACAGTAAAGCAATTTATAATGTTACAAAAGATTTCTATTTCAAATAAATGCTTTTCTTTTGAACTTTCAATTTACCAAAGAATCATAAAAAAAACAAGGTTTTCACAAAAATGTTAAGCGGCACAACTGTTTTCAACATTGATGATAATAAGAAGAAATGCTTCTTGAGCACCAAATCATTATATCAAAATCATGTGAGACTGAAGACCAGAGTAATGGCTGCTGAAAAAAGCAGCTTTGCCATTATAGGAACAAATTGCATTTTAAAACATATTAAAATAGAAATTGGTTCATTGAAATTGTAATCATTTTTCCACAATATTTCTGTTTTTACTGTATTTTTAATCAAATAAATGCAGCCTTGTTGAGCATAAGAGACTTTCAAAAATGTGAAAAAATCTTAATTATTCAAAGCTTTTGAATGGTAGTGTATAATGATGTAAAATGGTTGAGGAGGACTACGATATTTTAGTTAAACTGAAATTAAGTCATTAAATTTAAGTAGAAAAAGTAAATTAAAAAAACTAAATAATTATGTGTATATATACTGTATAATTATTTATTACAAATATAAAAATATATATTAAACAAATTCTATATCATATCTAATAATTTTTAATGACACACATATACATCTTTTTTTATAAATATAAAATATTTATTTTATTTATTTAAAGAAATGAAACCCCTGATCTTTTACAACAATCTAATTTTTAGTCGTTAACATGACCTCCATATGTGTTGGCTGGCACTTTGCAAAGCATTAGCCAATCATAACACTGCTTATTTGCATATAGAACTCTCAAAGGCACAAGAGAGGGGTGGTAAATAATGTAACACAACATTAAACCTTGATTAACATGGATTTTCAAATCCTACAGAAGCGCATAATATGGCCCACTAAATGTCTGCAGAAAGTATCAATGAACATCCACGACGAAGACAAATATTTGAAACGCCATGATCTATCAGAGTGATATTTGTTACTGTATTCAGACTGTGACTCTCTGCCTTTGATCCAGCAGGCGAGTCTTCGTGCAGTAACAAACTGCAGCTATGCTGTCTGGGAGAACCGTGGTGGGATTAAGCAGGAGTCTGATGGGCAGAAGGGCGAAGAGCGCAGGGATCTTCCACAGGAACGCTGGGGCTTAACGGAGCACTAATTAACACTGGGGCTAAATCAAGGCCTCGCAGGAAAGAGCAGCTCCACAAGCGCTTTAATTACCCAGCGCAGAAGCTAACCCTGCGCTAATAATAGCATTCGACTCAACCTCTGCCTTCCCAGGAGACTTGTGCTACGAGCGCTCCCTGTGGAGAACACAATAATGCCAACCTGCATGACCCCATATTAATTACTATATAAAGACAGCTAATACAGGATATACACTCAATCCTCTGCTATCAGGGAAAAAGCTTTACAAGACCAGGCAAAGCTGAACAACAAGACAAATATTGCTTACTAGATAATAAACATGATACAAGGCACTACAGAAAGACAGTGAGACGTGCTTGCCAGAGCAAAACTAAGGTGTTGTGGGTGGTTGCCAGGGTGTTACTTACTGGCAAATTCAAAAAAGCAAGACCTCGAAGTGCCAAGTCTATGATATTTTGGTCTCTAGATATAGCTGTATGTCTAAATAAATAAACAAATAAATAACTATATTACTCATTTACATACATTATATAAAACTTGAACTGAATTAACATTAAAAAGGTTAACGTTCTAAAATAAATTCTCTCATGTTGTTATTGTATTGTGATGCAAAATCATTCAGATTAATGAAAATTAATTAAAAAATACATTTAAAAAAAATAACATTTAAATTATGAATGAAATTAATGTTAAATGCCTGGTTTGCTGAATTTTTTATTATTAAATAATATTAAAAGAGATGGTACAGGTTTACACGTATGTTTATATTACACAATCTACACAAAAGTTAAAGTGCCCCTATAATGCTTTTTCTGATATTTCCTTCCATGTAGCGTTTAATATAGCGGTTTGAGGATGTAAAATGTCTGCAAAGTTTAAAGAGCATGATAATTAAAGTTATTGTCTACCAAAAGAAAGAACCAATTCAGAACTGCCTGAAACGAGTTGCCAGTAATTCCAGCCTTACTTCCTGCTCAAACCTATGTAGATTTGTAAAACAATGACCCCTACTTTGACCCCATCCTTAAACACTACACTATAGCCTGGAAGAGCTTGGTTCATGATGTAGAAATGTCGAGAAGACGCTGTTTTCTGTCGCGGGAGTAAATCCACTTTGCATGCACTTTCAAAGGATGAGGACTTGAATTGATACGGTAAAAACTAACACCATTGTTACTGTTCATATCACTGTGTATTAGGGTTGGGTACCGAAACTCGGTGCCAATAGGGAACCGGTTCCGACGTAAACGGTAGTAACCAGACCGAATAAGAAAGAAAATTTCGGTGCCTGATTTCGGTGCCTAACTTCATTAGGCACACACGCGCACACACACACACACACACACAAGGTCTCTCGCTCTCTCTCTCTCCGCCGTGCGTGTGCTACACAGTTTGGAGCACAGTTTCTTCTGTCTCGCATGCGCGCTCTTTCTCGCAAGGTTTGGCTCCATTTCACGTGTAAAATTACGTGTCAGAACGCCCTCTGGGTGTGCCGATAGTCTGAATCCCATATAGAATCAAGCCAATTCATTGGCTGATGGCGCCGCATCGACGCACTTACGTCGTCATACTATGCTGTCGCGCGCGCGCCATCTGCTCCTCAGATTTCTCTGCCGAAAAAGGAAGCTGGTCGGCAGCGCGAGAAGCTTGGCTGCGTCCCGTTCCCTATTGAGAGATATGTTACACCAACCAGAGATGTTCTCTTTCATAGGTTCTCTCAACGCTGCGTAGCTAAGAAGCAGTGGATTTGTAGGCTGCTGTATCACGTGCCGTTTGAACTGACGCGCTACAGCGATCTGTCACATTTCAAAGAGCCAAAACGTTATTTATTGTGTGAATCTCGTAAAAATATTGACAGAATCTGACAGCTGTGGATTTGTTCCATATCAAAAGTAACCTTCTCTGTCTTGTCTGTCAGTGTCCTCTTTGTCCGCGATTTTTCTGTGTGAAAAGGGTCATTTGCGTGAGTCTCACGGTCAATGCGTGAGAGTTGGCAGCTCTGCCTGCTAGTAATCTCTATTAATCTCCAGTATTATTACATTGTTTGATACAATATTGTTTCATTTGATATTATGTAAATATGAATTTTTATTTTATATTGGTTTTATTATTACCATATGTTACTTGTATTTATATTGTTTAAAGATTTAAGTTAATATTGTGTCCAGTTTGGCCCTGTAAATTAAAGGGTATTATTTTTTTGATAAAGTGTGTGCGGTTTCATTTTCTTAAGTACCGATTTAAGAACCGTTTAAGCACCGGAACCGTTTAAAAAATACCGAGTAGGTACTGGAATCGGATAAAACCCAAACGATACCCAACCCTACTGTGTATACAAGTGCTGAGGAAGCCTTCGGAGCTGAAATTCAGATATGGTAATGGACGTTTGGTTTCTGCAAGACGTAGGCCAATCAGAGCAGAGTTGGCTCTTGGAAAGGAGGGGTTTAGAGAGACAAACTGTTTATTGAACTGCTTTAGACACGGTGAGAAAATAGGTGATGCTGCAATGGAGACCTCCAAATCAAATTTACGAACCTTTAAAATAGCATAATAGGGGCACTTTACATTAATTCAAGACTGCAGTAGATAAGTAGAAGAAAGTAAAAAGACCTGGAGGAGTCAATTATTTAATATTTTGGTCTTTAAATATGGTTTTACGACTATGGAATGTTTTTCCTGTTTTTTCATTGACCAATAGTAATAGTGACAAATCATGACATTTCATTTCTATGATTGGTTGTGAAACTGGATGTTCAAAAGGGCCAATGGAATATCAGGAGAGGTGAATATGGATGGAAAAGTGGGTGTCTTACCGTGTCGCTGCAGGAGCAGGTGAAATGGGAGGGAATGGAGGTGGGCGGGATGAAGCCACTCAAGGGCTGCCCACCTTTCGCCATGAAAACGGCATGGCTGGGATGAGACTTCATGTTCTGATGATGAATATGAGACATATAAACATGACAAAAGACTTGACACATGTACACACAAAACACAAAACATGAATTAATGGAGCATCAAGGGCAAGAGATGATGAAAGAAGGGGTAGAGCGTCATTTTTTCAATGTCAAAATTTCAGTTTTCCTTCTCCTATAGGAAAACCTGTTTGAAAGCAGTTGCTGCCAATCCACTAGTGGCACAGAAATGACACACTTTACCTTTGAATACAATACGAAATTACTTTATTAGCCTATTTAATGCAAGTTTATCTTCATAAAGTGATTAAGAATGATTTCTTTTGGTAATTTTTTATAATTTAAAGAAGAGAAAAAAACAATCTGATACAAAAACATATCAGTGAAATAAGCCAGTCTTAGATATTAAAAGAACAGCTTGAGCCAGTTTGAGTGTTTGAGACCAAATAACCATTAATGGTGCTCACCTTAGCAGCAATAGCAGCTGCTGTGATGTGAGAGGAGCCGCTGTCCTCTGTGGACGCAATGCCACTGTCCTTCTTCTCCTCGTCCTCTTCCTCACACTGCACACCCTTGTCTTCTGTCTGCTTGTGTGGGCTAGTGGTGGGTGGAGGGGAGAGGGGCGGCGGAGGGGATGGCAGGTCCTCTAGAGCGTCGTGTACCTCCTTCACCTTCACTATGGCGTCCCGTAGCAGGTCTATGGCGTGGGGCAGAGCGGGCAGGATGAACTGGAAGCACTCCTGTGAAAAGGGAGAGAAGAAACATGTGAAAGAATGAAACAGCAAGAAGATCTTTCAAACCCAAAACATGTTCCTTTCATATCAATGAGCTCATGAGCAGCTCAATTCTACAATAATGTGACAAGACAGTGGACAAGCAATAGAAATATGAATTATAAACGTACTTATAATTCATTCAATACTGAAAAGAACTTAAAAAATATATAAATATCTTTAAACAATAAATGAAATTTAATAAGTAATATAACTTGCCCAGTATTTGAGTGTGTAATGTATATTTATTATGAGTATCACATTGGTAAATGGCAGTTACTAATAGGCAGTAGGCAGGTTTCAAAGTTGTGGAAAAGAGCCATTAATTTAATTTAATTTAATTTAATTTAATTTAATTTAATTTAATTTAATTTAATTTAATTTAATTTAATTTAATTTAATTTAATTTAATTTTAAAAACAAATCAAACATAACATAAGTAAACAGTACATAATAATTTATATCTTAATTAATTAATTAATTAATTAACATAAATACAGAATATTAAACTTAGATAAATAGAATCAAGGTTAAAAAGGTTAAAATAAATTATTTCATTCTCTTATTATACTGTGTGATGGAAAATCTTATTGTCTGACATTCGGGTGAATAATAAGAAATTATGATTTTAACAATAAAATTTAAATATAAAACATTCCGGGGTTATTATTATTATTATGGTTTGCTGAAAATTACATTATTTTTTAAAAATATTATTACAAGAGATCCAGCTATGGTATCGCATTATACATGTCATTAACGAATCAACACACTAGCTAAAATAAATGCCTGACTGCAGTAGATTAATGATTGACAATAAGTATTTTTCTAATCCATTTGATTTTTCTTATACAATATTTGACATTAATATTTGTATCATACAATATTTAACATGTGCTTAAAAGAGCTTAAATAATATTTAACCTGAGCTACTCCTTTAAAATTTGAACAGTGGAATTATAAAAACAAATTAATCTGTTGTATCTGTGTAGTTCAACTTTCTCCAGCTCCTAAGCGTCAAGTGTACTGTTTAGCAGTAATGCGAGGTCTTTACGGCGTAAATCCCTCTTGTTCTCCTCCAACGTAATGGGCCACTATCTATCCGAATCCCCTAATAGGATGACATACAGGCCCAACCTATTGACACTAACTTAATGGAATTTCTAATACAGTTGGACATCCTCCATTTTGAGGCGATGAAGTCCGATAAGGACACAGCATGTGAACTTAACACAGGTGGCCAAACTCGATTGCTCTTAAACCACATTTCTTAAGTACTTCTGACAAGAGACATTAATAATAATGAAGGAAAGGACGGCAGCGGGGATGGAGACCGGTCCAGGGAGGGTTGATGCGGTGGAGTGTTTCCCCCCGCAGGTCTGATGTGGTTGCATCTCTCCGTTTTGGTGACTCAGAGTTAAAACGAAGATTAATGTGTGGAGACATTAGAAGTCCATAGGCTACTTCATGTCCTCTTGGTGCATGTAGGAATGGTCTATTTTTGTCTTCCTGGTGCAAGGTGAGGCACATGTGTGTGCGCTGCCACTCCAGATCAGAGCGCGCTGCTCTGTAGGAATAATGGCACCTGCGCTCAAAGAAAGAGTGATGGGCAACTCAGACACGCTGACCAGACAGGAACATGCCAATATGGATGTGTGATGTGAAGCCACATCACTGTAAAAGCAGATGGACACATTTCACGTCCAGTTTCCTCGAGACAGCAGTAGAAACCCCAACAATGTAGCCCTTATTCAGAGCGGAGGCATTATACGACATTTTGCCAGTCACTTCACTTGGTTTCTATTTTGTTGTGTTCAACAGATCAACCAAAATCAAGCAAAACAGGATTTAAAAACCAAACAAAATACAAAAGGTACACTGTGTACTTAATGGTTTTCATAAGGGAAATAACTATAGGTCTGTCTTTAAAAGAATTATGTTATCTTTAAAAATCAATTTATGAAATGCGGAGAAAATTAAAAGGATTTGACTGTTCAGGACACCTGACTGTTGACTCTATAATTTTTTATTTTTATTTTAAAGAGAGAAAACAAAAAATCTAAGTATATTGTATAATTTCCAATCAAGCTATCCACCTTATTCCTGACGACCTTACTGCGATTTGAATTATGGGTGGCACTTCCGGTTTGGGGAACCTCCATTCAAAAAGGCTGAAACGAATCATTTCAAATCATAAGGTTGCCCTACAAATAAAGCTGATCCGTCGGTTTGACTGGATGAGCTGTCAATTTTCCTTCATGATTTAATTTCAGACATCATGAGAATAACGTTATACTTGGTATTTTAACGTGACATGCCAAGAGCTCTTTTCAGTCTCTGCTTTCTTTACCTCATGATGATTTTCTTTTTTTCCTTTGCAATCCGCTGTAAAAGTATGAAAAAGGACAACAAATACGGCACATTTGTGGTCTGTTCTCCCGAATTTAATTTACGATATTCCATTAATAATTCACTGGAATGCACGAAGAATCTCTCGTTATTCTCCTAAAATCCTCACGTCTCTTTCCAGGTTTGTTCTCACAGGTAAACGCAATTTATAATCTGTCAAAATGACGGAAATCACTTTGATATAGTGTCACGTAATGTTGAAGTTAATGAACATTTTTGATTAAGGCTTGTTATACAATACAGATATATATTTGCCTACTACAGTGATATTTAACCAAAGACTCGCGCTTTTGGGGGCTATTTTTGGTCTGTTGAAAGTAACTTACCTTGTTGATTCTTTTAAACTTTTAAATTTCATTTTAATGTTCGATGGTTGAAGGATGAGTCGATTAATGTCATCTCATTGTGACACTTTTTTAACGTATTGCTTTCATAGAGCGAGCATTTCACTGATTGTTTACAGCTTAACGGAAGTTACACCCATAATTCGCACAAAGCGTCATGGGGCGTAGGAATAAGGTGGATATAATTTAGTCAAATTACACATAAAGTGGCAACATGTTAGTAAAGGGGTACTTAACCGATGGCAAAATGGGCTTTCAATAAAACTTGGCTGCCTACACAGTAAAAAAGGTGGATTGTTTTTTAAATTGGTGTTATCTGACTAGAGAAAACAAAGAAAAGAAAACTGCCGTTCTGTCAGTTCCCGAAGCAAAACGCCGTCACGTGCAGGTAAGAAAGCTGTTGCCATAGTGTTACATTTTGACCATAATGCATAAAGACATAGTACGATACAGTTTTCAGTGATAAACCTACCACTCTTAGAATAACTGTTTTGTTAATAACCCTCTGTCGATCCGACTGTCTGTGGGCGGGGATACAAAAATGCTGAAGTATAATCAGTTTTTATGAAAACCCTGGAGCTCTCAAAAGTTTCTCTGTCCAGGTAACACAGAGAACGAGTACACATTGTTCATTTACATATACTACTGACATTGTAACAATACAAAGCTGGTGTAAAATCTATGAATTTATACTTTAATTGTGTGTATTTAGAATACATAAAATACTAGCTATCTTAATTAGCAAGGAGTTGGCTATTTCATTCATTTATGTATTCATCACATAATAAAACTCAACAACACATCATATGAGATGTAGTGGAAACATTCAGGACTTTGAGAAAGTGCCCAAGGTTAAAGAAACACCAATTATGTTTATTTTAGCACTTCATGGCCCTTTGAAGGTTGTTTGTGTTTCCCATTCTAGTGCACACTGGGAACACGCATTCCCATTTTCTCAGATGTGCTGAGGTCTGTGGCCCTTCCCCGTTTCAAATTCTCTCAGTTTACTTAAACGGTAACAATTTTCCAGCATCAAAGCTCTTCCTGAGAACATTAGCGATCTAAAGGCGTTGCGGAGTTTCTCTGTGGACCGGTGTCTCTCTCTCTCTAAACCTTTAGCGTTGTGGCCTGGGTCTGTCTCCATTTTAAAAGCAAGAAGGGCAAACTCAGTCCAGAAGCAGAGTCGCTGTCACAGAGGAGGAGCTGGGGATGTGAGGAGGCTGCTTTTATGGGTCGTGGACGTGGGATGGAGGGTGCTTTTATTTAGGAAGGGAGAGGGGGAGTGTAGTCGCTGAGCTGGACTGAGCATAAAGGGGTTCTTCAAAGTTTAATCCCCTTATCGGCTCGGCTTCTGGACTTCAAAGCAGCAGTGACAGCAGAGTTCTCCGTGGCTGGGGCTGATGGGTAATGGAGATTAATACCACGGCCCTATCAGCAGAGCTGCACGGGAAGTAGCTCTAATAGGATTGGCCACAATGTTAACACGGTAAGCGAGGGCGAACGTATATGTGAGAGGTGAAGGAAGGGGAGGGGCGTATACTCATTCTATATAGCTTTTTACATGGCGATTTTTTTATTTAATTTATAATTTTTATTTATGTAATGTATCATGTATATATATGATATAGATTACTCCTACATAAATAAATACAATTTATAAACAATAAAAGCAAGCGCTTATATATTTTATAGATATTTCAGAATAGTTGAAGACAAGGAAGTGATCAGAATACTTATGTACCAAAAGACACACACACACAAATAGCTTACCTGTGAGCCCTTCTTGCTCCCAGGTAAATTAATGATGAGGGTTTTGCCTCTTATTCCACATACGGGTCTACAGGAAGGAGATGATTAGCATTTAATCCAATTAGTATTCAAAACACATCCTTTACACTTGTGTGTTTGAGATTGAAAGGCAGAGAGGAGGAGTGAGATGAGAGGACATGTCTGTGCATGTGCATTCACCTGGACAGCATGCCGAGTGGCGTGACATTTAGGGAGCCCATGAGCATTGCTAGAGCCATCCCTGGAGCTTCACGCTCGATCACCTCTCTGGTGGCCTGCGGACGACAGAACACACACATATATAAGCAACAACAAGTTCATAATCCGATGTCAAAAGCACCAGTTTTTGGAGTCAAGTCTTTCTACAGTACCTAATTGGTAGATGAGTGCTGTTTTTCTTGGTTCCTGAATAATTACTTGGTTTCTTGAATAAAATCATAAATTCAACCTGTTTTCTGACAGAAAGCTCTCAGATTTCATCAAGAAGATCTTCTTTTGTGTTCTAAGGATAAACGAAAGTCGTACGGTTTTGGAACGACATGAGGGTGATTAATTAATGACAGAATTTTCATTTTTAGGTGAACTATCCCTTTAAGAAAAGTGTTACGCTGAATTTTTGTGCCATCTAGTGGTTTAAAAGAGAATAAAGTCAAATGCGCCTTTTACCCCGGTAAACATTTTAAATGCACAGGCTTATTTTTTCAACTTATAGTAATACACCCATGACATCAAGCAGTACACTAGACATGGAAGGCCGGAAAGGAAGAGTTCACCAAAACCTAAAAATTCTGTCATCATTTACACCATCATTTACTGTCATCATAAGATTTTTTTTTTTTAATGTTTCAGTGTCTCAGTGGTTTTTTGACCATTCAATGAAAGTAAAAGGGGTCCAATGTTGTCCAAAACTCTTCAAAATATCTTATGTGTGTTCCTCATGAAAAACAAAGTCATACAGGTTTGATATGACATAAGGATGAGTGAATGATGACAATTATTGTTTCCAGGTTAAAATAAATAGCCTATATATAGGGGGCCTTCAAATATAGTGTCCGATAGTTGCCTTCGAGTCAAAAATGATCATGTAATGACTGCATGTTTTGTCTGTGTAAGTGCCACCAATTTTGATCAGTAAATGTACAATTTTCTTAATTTGGGCTCATACATGCTAACAGGCTAAGCTAATTCATCATTTAGAGCCAATTGTTCTTCACAGCACAGCCCCGTTGCTGAGAATCTTCACTACGAACACAATTCCAGTGGGCCTTTGATGTCTCTACTCTTCCATCTGAAATCCCCGTTCACTGAACCCTTCTCAGCCACCCAAGGGACACATATCCCTCCATCTCCACTGTCCCATCCCGGTGGAACACACACACACCTGCACACAGTCTACTCAAACATACACATTCAAGAACACACGCAAAGTCAGAAGAAAAGTGCACAGGAGGGAAGGAATAAGAGGAAAACGAAAGGGATCTCAGGCTAAAGGAAGGAGATAATTTCTCTCCGACGTGACGCACTGTGCCCTTGGAATTGAATGACACTTCAAACACTCACATTAAAAAGGATAAGGAGTGCAGGGTACATCAAAAAAAAAAAATCTACACAGCATCGTTCCACCAGGCACAATCCCCACCAGACAGACTCCCATATGGATATGCACTGTTTCACTCGTACACATCAATTACAGCACTTTTGTGTGGAGATCTGCAAGTACACTACACACGCATATTTTCTCCTTATGGATCAACTGACTTTTATGAGTCAGTTCACTTTAGTAAATCAAAAACATACTGCGCAACCACAGTGGTTCATCTGCCAAACAAATTACTCTTTTGTATATATAATTGGTGTTGGTAAGATTATTTTGAACGAAGTCACTTATGCTCACCAAGACTGCATTTGTTTGATCAAAAATTTATTATTCTTCTATTACTAGTCTTCACATGATCCTTCAGAAAACATTCTCAAATGCTGATTTGGTGCTCAAAAAACATTTCTTATTATCAATGTTGAAAAAAAAGTTGTGCTGCTTAATATTTTGTGGAAATAATTATACTTTCAGGATTCTCTGATGAATAGAAACAGCATTTATCACAAAGATATCCTTTGTATCATCTCTTTACTGCAACTTTTGATTAAATTAATGCGCCCTTGCTGAATAACAGTATTAATCTCTTCTTTCTTTCTTTAGACTTACTGACACAATTTTGAATGGCAGTGTTTATAATTGTCAATTATATATAAAATTATAAGACCGTATTTATGCCACTTCTAAAAAGACTAGTAAAGCTGTTAAAAAGTCATTAAAAATAAACTTATCGCAAGAACTGTTTTTCATAAGAAAGCATCAACCAAACAGCATGCATGTGAATGTGAAAACACAATGCCCAAATATACAGAAGTCACAATTTCTCTCATTCTCATTCGGACTCAGAAAACAAGGACACATGGGGGTGGGGACAAAAACACACACTCACATGGACACAAACACAAACAGGTGGGCTCCCATGTACCTCAGGCGTGACATCACGGGGTGCAAAACCCGTTCCACCGGTGGTCAGAATCAAGTTGAGCTCCTTCTCATCGCACCAGTCCACCAGTGTCTCCTTTAAAGCGTGCACGCACACACACACACACACACAGAATAGCAACACAAAACATTCAGCAGTAATTCTATATAGTGCAGAAAGATATATTTGTATCCCTCAAACTACTGGTTCAACATCATATCAGCTATTTTGGGCATATAGTCTGGCCTGATAAATAAAACATCCATTTTTATTCTGCTGTTACCAGCAAAAAATATCATATACAGTGGCTCCGAAAAGTATTTGCACATTTAAGCCATTGCATCATTGCAGCAATAGACTTTTAACCAACTAGTCCTCCATGGTGATTTTTAGTGGATGTCTATCTCAGTAACCACATGTGAAGTTCACCACATTGTTTTATCATTTAAAGGGGTCATATAATGGTACATGCACTTTTTCAAGTTGATTGTACTGAAATGTGTGTTGGCAGTGCCTGTACACAACCATCATATAATGATAAAAATCCATCCAGTGGTTTTGTTTTAATCTCCTTAAATGTTTTCCCCTGCCTCAAATCGAGCCGTTCGACCGTGTGACGTCACACGCTCGGAAGCCCCTCCCACGATTGTTGATTGATTTCAACACAGACCCGCCCTCGCTCGTGAGAGCTGTCAATCATAGTCCGCGCGGACCGGCGCGGTCATTGTTGATATGCTGGAGCACTGTCTATGAGCAGAATGGCGTCTAAGCGATTGTGGTGTTCTGTTCTTGGGTGTAATAACGAACACAGCAGTCATTTTAATGTTCCTAAATCCGAACCGCTGAAGACGCAGTGGTTGAGTTTGTTTTCGAAGGGAATATTCCCCACGAGCAACGTCAATACTTTCATGTTTGCGCGAATCATTTCTCAGCAGACTGCTTTATAAACGAGGATCGGTATAAAGCAGGTTTTGCTAAGCAGCTGCTCCTGGATAAAGAATCGGTACCAGATATTCGTGTTCCTGCTGAACCTCTAGAACAACTGAAGTGAGTGTAACGTTTTATTAAACTTTATATTAATATTTATATCTTTGCAAATCGCTTCACGATGAATGAGTCTAAGGTTTACACTCAGGGTACATTACTGCATGTTTTCTTTGTATGACGTTCTCCATATAATTCATAATCCCACGTTTATAATGAACAACACGTTATGGTATTGTGTTACAAACGGTGTACGCACAGAACAGAGGGGCGGGGTGAGCAAAGCTCATGATCATTTAAAGTCATATGCACTGAAACGGCGTGCTGAAAACAGAGCTGTTTTTGACCAGGTAAAATAAGTGTTTTCTTACAATACTAATGAGAATTTTTAATTAAAGTATATTACAAACTTTTAATTTAGACCCTAAAGAATCATATTAGCTTGTACAAAAATGGCATTATATGACCCCTTTAAAACTTCACAAAATTCCTTGATGAAATGTTTTGCTTAAAGTGGATTTAATATTTGTTTTGTAATGCAATGATATTTATACTTTTTTCCATATCTGAGCTCAGATAAAATCCAAGTGGTCCATGTTATGGATAAGAGTGCAGCACTAATACTGGCCTCTAGGGGACAGTAGTGTGCAAAGGTGTGTATGGATGTGCATGTTTGCCTCATGGCCTCACTGAAGGGGTGAGAGGAAGCATTACCTTGATCTCGTCAATCTCATCAGGGACTATTTTGTATGCAGAGATTATGCCTCCGAGCCTGTGGGTGAAACACACAAACGACAACAACCGTTAGTGTATGTTCAGTCCCAACAGCAGGGGAGAAACAGGGAGCGAGAGAGGGGGAAAAAACACAATGTGACAGAGTGCAGGAAAAAGAAAGAGCAACACAATGCCAGAGGTACCAGAAAGCTGTCAAAATACATCCCCACACACTCCACCCACAACCGGAATGACAGTTAAAGAAGAAATTTCTTTCTTTCACAGGGCTCTTGCTGTTTTATTCACTTCTGCATTCACAGGGGTGACGGCTCACTAAGGATCAAATTTTGACAGCGCTGTTTTAGGCCATAAAACAGGTGGATTACCACAATAGCTAGGTTTCAAGTACAAGCCTCCTATATAAACGTAAATTTGCACTCAAAACTTTTGAGCAAACCATGTTCAAATACTGAAGTGCAGCACACACTAGTGGCGGCTCATAGTACTGCAGCTTGCAAAACAGAGACAGGCAGCTCAGAGACAGATAAAAGCACACTTACCATTTTTGATTTCGACAAACAAACTTGTACATTATCCAGCTTAGTGCATGATTATATACAAAACAAATAAACAAATTAATATTTCATGTCCATTTAAGTTTAAATTATGTTATTACGTGAGAAGAAAGGTGATACAAGACGCAAACTATCACAGCTAAGTTGGAAATCAGTTGCCGGATACAATGACCAATTAAACAGTTTAAAGTTCTTTAAATATTAAACAGGACGCTATTAAGGAAACAGGGTGAACGGGATCGGGAGATGATGCAAGTCGGACTCAAACTTGTAACGTCTGTGTGAGCACCACGTCTTGACATGTCTGGACCGCAGAGCTATGTGTCCAACTAAAGAGGCTAAAACTAGGACAAACTGAAAAGATTTAGCAAAAATCTCCTTTTTCAGTTTGGCTCAGGACTGGTTTTCTGGAGCTTATTTGTATATTTGGGGCTCTCTCACGTTGTTGTTTTGTCTCTACATTTTCTCTTGAATCACCTCTATCACTTCATCTAACTACTATGGTGTAATGCCCATAAAAGAGCAAGAAATAGAGAAAAAGAAAGAGAGAGAGAGAGAGAGAGAGAGAGAGAGAGAGAGAGAGAGAGAGAGAGAGAGAGAGAGAGAGAGAGAGAGAGAGAGAGAGAGAGAGAGAGAGAGAGAGAGAGAGAGAGAGAGAGAGAGAGGCAGAGACTAAAAGAAGAATATGCTGAACACAAAGATGCAGAGCTCTTTAATCCGGTTGCCAGGGAAACCGCTGGTGTGTGAAGATTGGGGGTTTGGAAAGAGGTGCTTTAAGACGGAGATGAGTTTGGGATTTCAACCTGGGTATTTTGTTTGTGTAAGTGAGTACACACATGCACATACTCGAACAAAGGAAGGCGAAGAATGCTGAATTTAACTGAAGCGTCTTCTGAATCTGGACGAAACTGTTCGATTGTGGCTTTATTAATGAATGTGTGGGTTGGGCCTGTCAGTGTCAAACCCAACCAAGTGTGTTAACGTGTGTCTTTGTGTGCTGATTTAGTTGAGGTTTCAACCTGAATGAACCCTGAATAAAGCCATCACACACTATTTTCAACTTTAAAATCTCTGTGGTGCAGTACATGGATGCCACGAATAGCCACCCATGCTCAACTAAAGAGACAAGGATTTGGAATATATAGGGATGAATTTACTAACCAGTTGAACCTCTTTTACACAACATTTCAGTGCATAAAACACCACGTTATTCAATTATCATCTGCAATTAAAGGCACAGTATGTGGTTTAAAACAATAACAAGGACATAGCTTGAATGAGCGTGGAATCATGGGAGTTGTCATCTTCTCCTCCACAGCCGATGGAAAGCAATCCGACGGGACTCAGGCAGATATCATGTTCATGGATGACCTAATGTATTAAAGTTTCATTAACGTTACTGTGGTATGAAGCAGGGCGGGACCAATAGCAGAACGAGGACGGTGGCGCGAATGCTAATGAGAGACACCTGCACGACACACCTCCTTCTTTCATGAACTTGTTTGTTACTTTGTTACAGTTACGTTTGATCACTTACATTTCACATTATTTTATTTCATTTTATTTTATTCTAATGAAATAGCCACAAGTGCTTAATTACTACTCCTATGGGACACTTTATTTGACAAAATAAAATTGTGGGGTAATGCAGCACTGTCTTACTAGGTCAAAACAATCATACTAAAAATACATTTAAAGCTGCTGTAGGTAACTTTTGAAAAAATGTATTTGCTAAAACTGTCATTATGTCCTGACAGTAGAATATGAGACAGATAATCTGTGTAAAAATCAAGCTCCTCTGGCTCCTCCCAGTGGTCCTATTGCCATTTGCAAGAAATACACGCTCCCAGTCAGAAACAACCAATCAGAGCCAGGAGGAATGTCTTAGCAGTGTAAATCACGCTCGTGTACGCGCAAGAGCGTACCGTCGTTCAAACTCAAGATTGCCGGCGTGCTGCAGCTGTGCTTATGACGGAGAAACAACCTAAACTGCCAATTCTCGAGTGACACCTGCTCATAAAACAGAGAGGTAAAAGGAAAAAGACTGATGACGATAAACAAGCGAAAAAGAAAGAATTACACAGAGCCCATTGACTCGGTGTCAAAACTGTTGAAAGTTATGTTGATGTGTTCGCTTGTGGCTGGTATGAGACACTTGTTGCACACTGCAGCAAGCTAGATCAATATTACAATGAGTACTTAATGTGATTAATGTATTAAATTTGTGGTGAAAATCAAGTTTTTAAATGTTGGTCTATGTGGTGTTTTTAATATTCTTTAAGAAAAACCATGTGTAAAAGTCAGCACCACTGCTGAGTATTTTCTCCTTAAAACTGCAGTGAACCAAAGACGTCTCAAAAATGCAGTTTGAAATCGCTGGTGTTTCTGTCGTCACAAACTACCTTGTAACCAATCACGTCAACGTGTGATCGTCAACGAGTGGATCTCTGAGCTGGTGTTGAGTGAGTGCAGGCAGGGCTAATTTGCATATTCATAGAACCGTGTATACCAAATGAGGCAAGGGGGTAGAGTTACATTCAAACTATTTTAAAGCTTTTATTCTTATTTTTTTAATTATTTTTAATACCATTTAAATGTCATTTTGGTGATCAAAGAGGAGTTTTAATGGATAAAATTATTGACTACAGGGGGACTTTAAGTAATTTAAAGGTGCTCTATGGAACTTTTAGTGGCCTCTAGTGGTGATGTTTCAGATTGCAACAAGAGCGCTCGTGCTCGTGTGCGTGTGCGATCTCAGGAGCGAGCATTCACTACCGGCCACACGGAGACTTTCAACGCAACGGCGAAAGCATCACACAACATGCTGGAAACTCATGTAAACTCCCACTGCAACGTTACAATAATAGGCTACTTTTATCAGCTTGACGTTGAACTAATGCTCCATGCTCGTACCATGATAACGTTACATTGACTGCATTTAGCCGGCATGTGGTGTTATCTAGTATAGCCTACGGTATTTCACTAACTATTCGTGTATCTTTCACCAGGGGCGTCATGCAAGCCAAAATTCTGGGGGGGCACAATCTGAGACGTTGCAATTGTTTTCTGACGGGTGATATGGATCATGTTAGGAGGGGTCAGGGGGGTTTCTCCCCCTGATTTTTTTTTAATTCTGGCTGCGAAACATACTATTTCAATGCAGTTTGGGAGGGACAGAAATACCTTAACGGAGCTAGCAGCAACCCTCCTCTATCTGAGGACTAAGTTAAAGTATGTGTATCTGTGCATTATAAGATGTTTTGAAGGCCAAAAAAACTGGATACAAACAGCTTTAAAACCATGTCACGCAGCTGATTATTTTTCTCTCCTCATCTCCATCACACTTTTTCTCTTTGTTTTTCTCTTGCCCTGTCTCTTCCCCTCCTAAAGTTGAACTTTGACTGATAGGCTTTCCATTTTTGTCTGTCAGTGAAGAAAGTAAACATAGGGTCAACTGGTTGATTTATGAATCATTTTCTCAGACGAGTTACTGAAAGCTACTAGGAAAGCTAGGTAGCCTAACTAAGTTTATTAAATTCATTCACAGTACATATTCATTATTGATCTTATACCTAATACAGGGCCGTAGACAGGGCTTTATAATCAAAGAGGTCCTAAATTTGAGGTGGGTAGGGGGTTCAAATTTTTATTTCTCTGATATGTGCATTTCAAGACGTTTGAAGGCCAAAAAAAGGATAAGAAATAGCCTTAAAACCATGTCAGCGGACAGTAGATTATTTGTCAATACCTGCTCTCACTTCTTATCCATCACTCTTTATTTTTCTCTCAGTCTCCTGATCTTGCCTTCCCCTCCTAAAGCTGAGCTTTTTTAATTTACTTAAGGCTACAAATTGTACTATATTAATTCTCAATATGTATACATTCATTATTAATCTTGTGCCTGACAAGGAAAACGGCTTTTCCCCTCACAATGACAGTAAACTAATTATTAGCCATTACGAGTCACGTTACATAGGCCTATTTTCAGTTCAAAATGGCGAAATTAGACAAAAGTATATTCGTGTGCCTGATTATTTTCGTCATTCGTTTAACATTTATGAACTAAAAAAACTGTCAAATATGAAATGTTTACTTTAGCAACTTACATCTCGCACTTGACTGTACACTGACTGAAGCGTCGAGTGAGTCTAAAATTCGCGCTAAGCTTCTGTGAGCATAAAGCCCGCCTCCTTTGATTTCATTGGCCATCTCAAATATTCTGACATTGACGAGCAGTGACAGACCAATGAGGCTCAGATGAACACACACGCGCGCACACACACACCCTGTCCTGTGTCCTCTGTTTCTGACGTGCGCTCTGCTCGGCGCCGCTGCGGATTGAAGATGAACAACGTGCTGAATCTGATTATAACAAGTAATTTAAAAAAATTATCAGGGAGGAAAAATCTGAGGGGGCACGTGCCCCCTCACTTTGAATGGGCATGACGCCACTGTCTTTCACAATCAACAATGTCAACATAGGTGAATGTATAATAATGATAATGAAAACGGTTAGTGAACTAGACTGAACAATGTCAGTGTAACAGTAAGACAGTAGGAAGTAACATTACTGTACTGAACGTGTCTGGAAATGTTTATTATAAACAATATGATAGTGGGATGAATTACGTTATAGCGTAACGATCTATAACGTAGATCTAGTACATAAAATAAGTATCCTAAAGCACCTTTTCTTATCCTGGAACAGTCTTTTGTATTCATTCCATGTCTCATGTAGTTTACCTTGCTATTTCATTTGAGTTTACTAATAATTCAAAAGCTCTGCCGATGTTGATCCGTGTTTTCGTCCTGAGCCGATCAGAATCACGTCTGGCCTGACGAGCTTCAGCAGATAAAACTTTGTTTAGTTTTTTATATTTATGTGGAGATAGTGTTGGGAGTGTGTGTTGTGCAGGAGGCAGGTCGTTTTGGGGTGTTATCAGACTCCATATCGTCAGCTGCAGTGCCGTCGCATAGACTGTGTATATAAGGAGAGAGGCTCGGGAGCGCGCATGCACGTCACATCCGATGGATTTCGCGGTAAATCCGACCCGGAGACTTCACATATAAATATGAATATTGGCCTTCAGAGGTAATAGCAAAACCCGACAAGTGGATCATTGTAATGTGTGATTACAACCCCTTCACACACAGGCAATAAAAAAAGGATTCATTTTAGAAGAAAAGTTCCATATAGCACCTTTAATTATTGTAACTGCCTTATTTACAAAACTCAGCACTACTTTCCTAGTGCAGTTACCATTGCGATAAACACGTCTGCGGTAAACGGGAAGTTAAAACAAGTTTTAGTGAGAAGAGACCCAGTAAAGTAGCCTTTACAATGGAGCACTAAGAATTCTGCAACTTGTGTTAAGCACATATATTCTAGACTTGTTTGCGCAGTTACCTGATTTGGATACAGTACGTCATGTATTGAATTTGATGTCCTACTTGCACCCACCGAAAATACAGAACAGGCAGACACTATAAGACATAGGTGCTTTTGCAGGTGATGCAGTTTCAAATATGGTCCCATCCCAATCCTCCCAATTTCCAGTCTCCTCTCTACTGTCATTGATAAGGGTGTCACGATTTCGATTTTAAATCGAAATCGATCGAAATTAATTCACAATCTCGAACTTCGAATTAAAAAATGGAATCGTCGATGCTGCCACGCCCCCATGTCACGTCCGGTCGGCGTGCCAAGCGGAAAAAAAAACACGCGTGTTGAAGTCATAGATGGTTGAAGTGCTGCGAGTCTATGGTCAACCACCTCTAACTTAGCTACAGTCATTCAAAAGATAGTATGGCAACTGCAGATGCAGGAGACCCATCGACAGAACTTGAACCCCCTCCTCTTTCATTGAAGTCGCAGGTGTGGAAGTTTTTTGGATTTCCAGTGAGTTATGTTAACAACGTTCGCGCTTCAAAAAAGCCACAGTTTGCAAGTCTCGCGGAAGTTTCGAGTCTCCTGCATATTGATAGCGGCGCCCTGATGCACGCAAATGAGTTAAAATCTCCCGGAATCTAGAGTGTGCGAGCAAGAGCGCGCATGCAAGACAGAAAAAACTGTGCTCCAAACCGTATAGCGTGCGCACGGCAGAGAACGAGAGAGCGAGAGACCTTGCGTGTGTGCCTCATGAAGCGCATGTAAGACAGAGAGCATCCTGATTGGCTGGTTTCGGCTTTAAAAATAAATAAATGTAAAAATCGAGAATCGAATCGAACCGTGACCTTAGAATCGAAAATTTAATCGAATCGAGGATTTGGAGAATCGTGACACCCCTAGTCATTGATTTAACAAAAACTTATAAACAGACCACTCTGGCGAGTTAATAAATAACTGTCTGCAGGCCCGTTGCAAATAAAAGTCGGTTTCATAAGGAACTATAACCTTGGTGACACTTTTCTGCTCTCAGCTGAAGACACGTTCATTTCTGTTTCTCAGGTGTGCTCAGCTGTCCCTCTCTTAAACGTCTGCATGTTCACCTCTCTGTAGGTGAAGACGTCAGAATCCTCTCTACCCAGAGGACGATGAGCCACGCGTGTCCCCCACTATGATTATTTCAGCTCTATTTTTACCACACCTCGTTAGTAAAACTGACAGCTCTTTCAATGAATCAATTCACCTGAGCTGACAGAGCACTGGAGATGGAGCTCACCAGTCAACAGACAACACACACATTCATTATCCATCAATACTCTCTGAAGTATCTCTACCTTCTGGCGGCACCCCATGCTTCTCTTCCTCTCTGACACCTTTCAGAGACCTACATCCCGCTGTCTCTGTCGCTCCACTGACCTTGTCGGGGTACAAAGATTTGCTCGGTACAAAGCTTTGTTTTTTTATGCTAAAGTAGAAACAGAGGTGGACAGACATTGCAGGTTCTGGTACAATGTAGTCTTCGAACAATTGGAATTTCTTTAATTCCTGATCCATCTATGATGACCCTACTGCTCAATCCTCTTTACCCATAACAGCACCAATAACCACAGATATATCAATTACTAAAATGGGGCATTGTACACTTGCTGTCTGAAACCAAAAGCAGCTTCTTTTAAATGACATAACAGTTAGCGTTTTCTGAAATAAAGTACCTCCCAAGGAGGAAACTAGTCTTTCAAAGGCACTCCAGAAATCAACAGATTGGTGCATCTTTTTAGACAGGTTGTTAGTGAACATTGGATGTGCCTTGAGGCTTTCCAACCTTCGAATTATGCCTAGAGAAGACAGCATTTCCACAGAGGTGGAAGGACAATGAGCTCTTCTTCTTGCTGAAAGTCTGTTAAAGAACGAGAAGGTTTCTCAAAGCTCGAAAGGTCTCCGCTGAAGTATACAAGAAGTAGCTGACATTCGAGAGGCCGATTTAAGTGAAGAGTCCTATCTACACCTATTTGCAAGAGTGCATGCAGACATACTCTGCACTCAAGCACTCATAAATACAGTCTCCAGCAGTTCAATCCTGCATGTGGTCATTTTTGCATGACCTTTGACGCATGACTAAAGAAAGTAAATATGCTACTTTAGCATCTCATATGCACAGTCAAAAGTAGATACACCTTTGATGTAATCGACACTATAATAGACACTTTCACTAACTGCTTACGGTCTACACAAATGACATGAAATAAAAGAAGTCCTGTTTATATATTAGTTAATCTTATGGACCCAGATTTTTGACCACCGACAAAGTCTGGTCCACTTTGAAGCATATTCTGTCCAAAAACGTCCTACCTTGGCCATTTAGAAAGGACAAGTTATTGCTTATTTAGAAACCTCTGCATTCGGTTTCATTCAGACAAGGGACAAGGGCCAAACAGAGTTGCTTTTTTACAAACCGATTAAGGATGCTCAAGAGTCTTACTTACTTGCTAGTCTCAAAGGATGCTCAAGAATCTTACTTACTTGTTAGTCTCAAATAAAAATCTTAAATATCTTTCAAAGATCTGATGCCATAAAACTAACAAACTTAGGCAAACCCAGCAATAAGCTGTTACTCTGAAGCATTTATTATATCAGCTTGATACCCTGTCAAGAAAATCTTGCTTCCTGGAAAACTGATAAAAGTCTGTGCACCTCAATTCCTAGAAATTGTATAGAAGCTTTGCTTCAAATTTGGTCGATTTACAGAATCAATGAAGTTTGCAACAATGCATGAAAGGTAACGCAGACAGACTAAGTAAGAAATTGCAGCTGCTGTCCTCCTTTGTCAGGGATGGATTCTTGGGCCTTGCACCAAATGCTGACCTACTGTAAACACTCGCAGTCTTCTAAGTCCAAACATTGGTCTTGGTCGTTGGGTAGTAGTCCTTATCTGTGTGGGCTCGACATTAGGCCACATTCAAGGGCACAAAGGGACTGTAAAGTAGAGGTCTTCACAGGTCCACTTGAATCCGAAAACCCGAGGTCCGACCCGAGCGGGTTCGGGTCCAAAACTTCGACTAGTGCCTCGGACACGGGTCGAGTTTGGTATTTGTGGCCTCAGGTCTCGGGTAATTTGAAATAAATGTGCTTTTTTCTACTGGACCCGAGAAGACCCAAATTCTTTTAAACTATGTCGGCCATTTAACAAAATTTTATTATTAAAAAAGAAATTCTATTGAAGAACAATTCTTCTATGGTCTCGTCTCCAATTCCACACATTGGTCTGGACCATTGGGTAGTAGTCCGCATCAGTGTGGGCTTAGCATAAGGCAGCATTCAAGGGCACATAAAGGCTGTAAAGAGGGTTACAGTATTGTCTCGTGGACATCACAAACACACTCAGGTGACAGCAATCACATGTCCACAAGACCGCAAATACATCAAGTGCAGAATTTGGGACAACGCCTTTATCTTTAAGAAGGACATCCATCCATTCAGCACAGAAATACAAGGAATGGGAAACCTGTCCGGAAATGTCCTATGATCAACGAGACTTGATGCATGGACAGTAGTATTGTACAAAGCCAATGTGTTTGTGTGTGAATCACTTACAAGGATGGGTCATGGACAAGATCTTTGAGGTTGATTCCACTGCGGTCCTCGGCAAGGTTTCTGAAGCAGCTGTCACTCACTGCAGACAGGAGAGAGATGGAGGAAGGACATGAGACATAGGAAAAGGGAAGAGAAAAGAGGAAAAAAGCACATTATTGCATGGGAATAATATAATGCCCTTTTGCGGACCACAAATGTCTGATTCCTTAAACGTCACGTTAGTCCTGAGGTTTGAGAGAATATGAGTTATGTCAAAACACATTACTCAACAAAAGCACGCAACTACAAGCGTGGAGAATCATACTATCAGGCCTTCGTGTATTCCATGTAATGGAAGCCACACTGTTACACACCAGACAGTATTAACATTACTGTTCTCCTCTGCGTTGTCAACTTCCTCTGTGATTTTACAACCTGTTTGATGGTGAGCAGAATCAGCACCGCTGATAACCATCAGCTCAGCACCAGCAAAAAGCTCCTAGTAGTTACAATTACAACAAAGGGTATGTATTATTGAAAACAGGATTTTTCTTGCTCTTTCCCTGTTCTTTTTGAACTATGTACACATATTCAACATGAACCACTTACAGAAACTGCTGCAAAAAATCTGACATTGAGAAATTGTCATGGTATTGATCCCTAAACCGTAAGCTTATTAGCATATGACCAACCATGCTTACATATCAATGCCAATTTAGAATTCAGTAACGTGACAAACCTTGATGAACATAAGTGAGAACTTGAGTGAGAAAGTGTCGAAAAAGATAATGAAAAACTAAACGATCACTGTTTGTGGTGAAAGATATCTTGGCCAATGTTATTATTGGACTTCAGGGAAGAAAAACCAATACAAAAGTATAGACTATATAAGTGTTTTAGTCGAGACCAGCTCATTAGAGTCGGAAACCAGGGCGATACCTGAGTAGGTTGAGTCCCAGTCAAGACCAAGTCCAGGAAAGAGTAGAGTATGAGTCTGAATAATTCAGACAGTGTAAATATGCTTTCCATTGAGGCAAATGAACCCTAGTTTCACGTCAGTGTCACGCAAACCTCCGCAATGCACACACAGTGTGCTCTGGTCACACAATTCCACAGAGTGGAGTCGGCACAGAGAGACCACAAAACAAGTCAAGACCGAATGCCCTAAAAGCTCAAGGGTCCATGGCAAGACCAAGACCATGAAAATATAGTCAAGATCAAGTCCAGACTCGAGGACTACAACACTGCACACTGTGTTTAAGTCAACATTGAAACCCCATTAAAACCAGGTTTTACTGTGCATGTTATGCCAAAGAACAATATCTTTTTAATGTTTCATCAAAATATAACAACTTGCTCTGCCTCTAAAATGACTTTTTAGGGTCACCAAGCTCTAATTTTTCAACCACCAGCCATATAGAAACGACTATTTATGATCAAGTCCCATTCTAAAAAAAAAAATTCCATTGAATATCATGCTTTACCTAGAAATATGCGCATTACCGAATTAAGAAGGTTGCAAATAATAGTAACAGAAATAATAGTAATTTCAACAGCATTGTGATATAAAAGGGTCCAGTCTAGCTCAAAACATGTCAAAATCTGTGACGAGGGAAGAGAATGACCCGTGTTGTGTAAATAAATGATAAAGTGCTGCCATTCACCGTCACATTCTCCATCACGCACAAGGGCTCGGTGCAACACTTGCTTCATAATTGCAGCATTTTCTCACCCTTCTCTCTTTTCTCCTCATCTCTTGCTCTCTCTGTTCTCTCTCTCCACCCTGCTAACCCTTGATCTATAAATAGGCTGGTGTTCCCTGCAGGAGGCAGGAGAAGTGAGCTCTCCTCAGAAAGGCGGCAAAAAACTTCTTGTCACAGGCACGGAAATGCAATGTCTGTGTGAGCATGAATGAGGGTGAAGGAGGACTGTTCTGCCGATGCATCATATACAAGTGACCGTTTGCTTGTGTGTGTGAGTGAGTGAGTGAGTGAGTGAGTGAGTGAGTGAGTGAGTGAGTGAGTGAGTGAGTGAGTGAGTGAGTGAGTGAGTGAGTGAGTGAGTGAGTGAGTGAGTGAGTGAGTGAGTGAGTGAGTGACTGAGTGACTGAGTGAGTGTGTGTGTGTGTGAGAGAGAGAGAGAGAGAGAGAGAGAGAGAGAGAGAGAGAGAGAGAGAGAGAGAGAGAGAGAGAGAGAGAGAGAGAGAGAGAGAGAGAGAGAGAGAGAGAGAGACACGCAGCAGTTGGACCATTTATCAGAGATGTTAAGGCATCAGAATGTTAATGTCACCAGAGATCTGCCCAGCATGAGTGGAGAGGAGAGTTGTCTATTTTCTCAGAACTGCTAAAGAGCTACACTTCTCAAGTAAAGCATTGTTAAGCATATCAATTCATTGTTAAAGTCATTGTTCCTTTAAAATATTTTTAAAAATCTGGCAGTAACCAATGGTAATACCATAATATATATATATATATATTATATATATATATATATATACACACACTCACCTAAAGGATTATTAGGAACACCATACTAATACTGTGTTTGACCCCCTTTCGCCTTCAGAACTGCCTTAATTCTACGTGGCATTGATTCAACAAGGTGCTGAAAGCATTCTTTAGAAATGTTGGCCCATATTGATAGGATAGCATCTTGCAGTTGATGGAGATTTGTGGAATGCACATCCAGGGCACGAAGCTCCCGTTCCACCACATCCCAAAGATGCTCTATTGGGTTGAGATCGGGTGACTGTGGGGGCCATTTTAGTACAGTGAACTCATTGTCATGTTCAAGAAACCAATTTGAAATGATTCGAGCTTTGTGACATGGTGCATTATCCTGCTGGAAGTAGCCATCAGAGGATGGGTACATGGTGGCCATAAAGGGATGGACATGGTCAGAAACAATGCTCAGGTAGGCCGTGGCATTTAAACGATGCCCAATTGGCACTAAGGGGCCTAAAGTGTGCCAAGAAAACATCCCCCACACCATTACACCACCAGCACCAGCCTGCACAGTGGTAACAAGGCATGATGGATCCATGTTCTCATTCTGTTTATGCCAAATTCTGACTCTACCATCTGAATGTCTCAACAGAAATCGAGACTCATCAGACCAGGCAACATTTTTCCAGTCTTCAACTGTCCAATTTTGGTGAGCTCTTGCAAATTGTAACCTCTTTTTCCTATTTGTAGTGGAGATGAGTGGTACCCGGTGGGGTCTTCTGCTGTTGTAGCCCATCCGCCTCAAGGTTGTGCGTGTTGTGGCTTCACAAATGCTTTGCTGCATACCTCGGTTGTAACGAGTGGTTATTTCAGTCAAAGTTGCTCTTCTATCAGCTTGAATCAGTCGGCCCATTCTCCTCTGACCTCTAGCATCAACAAGGCATTTTCGCCCACAGGACTGCCGCATACTGGATGTTTTTCCCTTTTCACACCACTCTTTGTAAACCCTAGAAATGGTTGTGCGTGAAAATCACAGTAACTGAGCAGATTGTGAAATACTCAGACCGGCCCGTCTGGCACCAACAACCATGCCACGCTCAAAATTGCTTAAATCACCTTTCTTTCCCATTCTGACATTCAGTTTGGAGTTCAGGAGATTGTCTTGACCAGGACCACACCCCTAAATGCATTGAAGCAACTGCCATGTGATTGGTTGATTAGATAATTGCATTAATGAGAAATTGAACAGGTGTTCCTAGACATGTGCCGGTATTCGGTAATGCGATAAATCGCGGTAATGAATATGCACGATATTGTTATCGCGGGCACTTCAAAATACCGTGAAAAATAATAGATTCGAATTTAGACTTTTAGAACGCGCATTAGCTTATTTTCCATCAACCGCTTAAACTGCGTATATGCTGCGCAAAACACGTGCGCACTCTGATGTAAACAATCCCCACATGTATAAGCACTGTATGCATGCGGCGCAGTGCGCACTCTAGTCTAATGTAAACAATCCTCACATGGAGTAGAAGCATGGCGGGAGGAGGAACGCTGCCGACGATTGCAGGGCTGACAACTCTCACGCATTCAGCTTGAGACTCAAGCGCCTTTCAGACAGGACGCGGAACACGCGCGGGGACGTTTTGTTGCTGCGTCGACCAAAGCACGCCTGGGTCAAAGTTCAAAATAGTTCAACTTTTTATTTGCAAAATAGCAAATCGCGTTGTATCTGAAGGGCAACGTTGAACCCAGCGGCCAGCACCGCGCATTCCGCGTCCTGTCTGAAAGGCGCTTTACTCAGTTGACACTTTTCACACGCTCTCACGCAGAGAAAAATCGCGGAGCAAAGAGGACACTGACACCGACAGACTAGACAGAGCAGGTTACATTTGATATATATATATATAAAAAAACATTCAGCTCTTAGGTTCTGTCCATTGTGACAGATCGCTGCGCCTCAGTTCAAGTAAACCGATCATCTGTTACTTTTTATTTAAAGATACAGTACAGCGAGGAGTATTTGGCTAAATATGTGCATATTACATATTTATTATATGTTTACTTGTCATTACATAATTGTTATTATAATGAAAACCGCATTGTATTTCATTTCTCTCTGTATGTTTACAGCATTGTGAGATATTTTTTTTTCTTGAGAAAAATTTACATGCAGACTGTAGCCTACCTAATATTTATCCAAATGAGTCAATATTGAATTAAGATTGAAATAAAATCCAAGAATTTAATTGAATAATACAAACAGTAGCCTACCAGTCATTGTACCATGTAAACATTGTAACATGTTGTCGCTAAACTTAATAAAATTGTTTAGTTACCATATGTTTTGAAAATCACAATTACACATTATGATGCAAGTTGTTTAGATACCCACAATCCATCTGTTTCTCTTGAGCAATTAAAATATCGTAATACTACCGTATACCGTGATAAAAGCTCAATCAATTAACCGCAGCATAAAAATTTGATACCGGCACATGCCTTTAGGTGAGTGTATATATATATATATATATATATATATATATATATATACCATTACACAGATTTAAACATTCACATGGTATTCCAAGGAATTTAAAAAAAATACTACGGTATTTGACAACATATGACTGTTCTATATAGGAGAATAGGA